ACAGAAACGCAAAACAGAATGACTAACTCATCGTATTTCTCGCGATAATTGGCGGCTGTACATTCAGCATCATGATCGTATACCTTAACATTTTATTCATCAGCTAACTAAAAACATATTTCTACTAGAAACAACAAACCTTTTGCAGTCCTGTCTGTTCCAGCAAAGCTGCCACAAGTCGCCAGCTTTGCGCTATATTCGACTGCCCCAACAGAGTAGCCAAATTAGCATTGTGATTGCACAGGGTTTGTAACGGTCGTCCCCCAGCAAGATAGCTGAATTACGCGATTTGAAAACGATTGACACTGAGAAAAGAAAATTCAAAACCTACTTCTCCGCTAATTTGTAGAATGCAGTTGGTTGCAGCGTATTCATCGCATTGTCGGGAAGACCACATGACAGCTGGCTTCGTACTGGAGTACGGAATGGATCATATGGAGTTCTCTAAATCGTTTGCTTAAAAAGCAGTTTCGCTACAATTCTTTGTCCTATCTTACTTTTTGATAACAACCGCTAAGCTGTCAGTCAAGAAGGAAAAAAAGTTGAAACAAAACAACACACGATGCACACTCCATAGTTGGTCCACTTGTCCGCTTCATCCACTTCGTGTAAAACGCGCCCTGGGTAATTTATCATTCGTTGCTGCATAGGTAAAGAAAATTCGGGCTCCACATTAAGTGAACAAAAGAACGAAAATCATGAGTTTCGCTAAAACTTCGTCTAGGAGGGTTACTTGGTGCGCTGCACATGAATACGACGTTTATTTCGCACGATAGCGCCATCCGTTGGGATTGCGGTAGGATTACGGTAGGCAAAAGCACGGATTTACCCGAAACTTCGTTTACGGGAGTTACTTAGCATGCTGAACACGAATATGATGTTTATTTCGCGCGGCAGTGCCATCCGGTGGAGTTACGGTAAATTTCGCGCATATCTATGATTTTCACCTCCTACTGCAACCTCACCATTTTGGGTCAACTGATGCGGAATAGTACCGGAATTTCGTATTGTTGCGCAAGTCCGCTATACGCGACATCAAATGACAGATTATACACAGCGATTTTACATGAAGTGGATCAAGCGGATCAAGTGGATCAAGTGGAAAAACTATAGCGAGTGAATGTTGTTGACAGCATAAATTTCTGCTTGACAAAAGAAAACCGGGATGCCACGATATATCACGTAGATGCCATGAGATAGAAAGTAACTCTACCTTCCTAGCCAAGTAGTGCTCTTGCTGTTTGATGATCGGGATGTGTGAATTTGCTGCAAAAAAAA